GCGACCGGGTCTTGCTATGTGGTAGGGACTTTTTCAAAACAAAGGAAATATGGTACCATCAGTATCAGTGTGCACATTCCATAAGTCTTTTGTAACACTGTGTCAACCCTATAGTATACAGATATAATTCCCAGGCAGACCTTGTTACCTTGCATGGAAGCTGGCATGAAGAGAAGACTGAGAAGAGCTGATAAGCATGTGACTCCTGGTTGGGCCCTCCATCTCTGAATAAGAATCTGCTGAGCCCGTGCCAGCACTCAAAAACACACTTCCTGCTGAAGGCCCAGGTGTCCTGACTCTCTATGCCAGAATCCTGCAACAGCTAAGATGCCCAGGCTGGCCTTGAACTTGCCATCCTCCTACCTCAGGCTTCTGAGTCACTAGGATTATGGGTAGCTTAAAGCTTGTAATGTCTTTTTCTTAGAGATTTTTTTCACCATTTTTTTTAGTTACTTCCTCCAGGGATAGCTACTACTGATTTATACTATTTTAATTTGAATCAGATGTTAAAAATATTTTTGAGCTGGGTGTGCTGGCACACACTTGTAATCCCAGCAGCTCAGGAAGCTGAGGCAGGAGGATGGCAAGTTCAAAGCCAGTCTCAGCAACTTAGTGAGGCACTAAACAACTCAGCAAGACCCTGTCTCTAAATATTTTTTTTAAATGGCTGGGGATATTGCTCAGTGGTTAAGCACCCCTGGGTTCAATCCCCAGTATCAAAAAACAATCCTATTATTCATTTGTTATTATTATTGGGGAGGGTATTAGAGATTGAGCCCGGGGAGACTTTACCACTGAATTTACCTAGCCCTTTTTAAATTATTATTATTTTCAGTTGTATATGGACAGAATAACTTTATCTATTTTATATGTGGTGCTGAGGATCCACCCCAGTGCCTTACACGTGCTAGGCAAGTGCTCTACCACTGAGCTACAACCCCAACAAAGCCCCAACCCCTTAAAATTTCTTTTGAGTCAAGGTCTTGCTAAATTGCCCAGACTGGCCTTGAACTTGTGATCCTCTTGCTTTAGCCTCCCGAGTTACTGGGATTACAAGCTTGTACCACTATGCCTACTAATTTTATATCTTTTAAAAAGCCGAGGAAGTGTATATTTACAGCTTTTGTTATGCTTGCCATTTGTTTTCTCTGATTCTATTCATTTGCTGCACTGGCCTTAAGTTACTATCTGGAGTCTTTTCCCTGGCCTGACACAACCCTGCTCCCACCTTTCTTCTTCCTTCCTCGTGGTGTTATTGATAGAGTCCACTTCTCCATGCAGGGGAGGTGGAGGGGAGCAGCACTGCTTTATACACATAGGACTCTTGGTTGGCACTCTAGCTCCCCCTGAACACCCCACTTCCTGCTGCCCTCCACTGTTTCTAAAAACAAGTTAGCTGTTGATCTTAATGGATTTCCCTTGTGTTCCATTTCTCTTTGATGCTCTCAACATTTTCTTCTTTTCAGATTTCAGCATTTTTAATACTATATGTTAGATAGTGTTCTTTCTTTGTATGTATTCAACTTGAAGTTTACTGAGCTTTTTCAATGTATAGATGAGAACTTTTCATCAAATTTGGGAAGTTTTTAGGCCTTTCATTGCCTTTTGGGCTCCCTTTTCTCTCTCCTCTCTTTCAGGTACTTCCATTGTGGGTATGCTTGATTTTGTCCCATACTTATCTGAGGCTATTTATTTTTCTTCATTCTTACCCTCTCATCTTTGGATTACATAACCACGATCAACTTGTCAGTTTTTTAAATTCTTTTTTCTGCTAATTCAAATCTGTTGATGATCTTCTCTACTTAATTATTATTTTAATATTCCTTATTTGATGAACATTATCTTTATACCTTCCTTTATGTCTTTGAACATTCTTAGAACAGCTGCTTTGAAATCTGTTATCTGCTACTTGGTCATGCCTACAGGAAGTTTTTGTTTCTGTTAAGGCAATTTTGTTGCCTGCTGTTTTTCTCACATTATCAGTCAGACTTTCCTGTTTCTTTTTATGTTTTAGATAATATAAAAACTCAACTTTGTATATGGGTTCCTTAGGCAATCATAATTGTTACAGCCAACTGTTGGCATAGTGACTGGCAGGTTACTTAGGTCTTTCTGTCCCATGGGGTGACATCTTTGATGTCAGACTCAATGAGAATGCAGACTCAATCACCTACCATCACTGTGATGACAGTTTTGGCAGGGTCTTCTCTCTCTTCGTCAGCTGTTGACTATTAATTGCTAGCTATTGTTTTGACCTTAGAGGTAACTGAATCTATTCTAACATCTGATTCAATTAAATCTGGACAGCTTTACAGGAATAGTGTTTGAGGTCATTGGCTATGTCAGGACCCCAGGAGGGTGTATTTTAGCTGTCTCTCTCCCTGGTAACTCCAGCAAATTAGGAACTTAGCTTTTGTCTCCGATGAGTCTACCAGTCTCCTCTTAATTCCATAGCATCACAACTTCATTGGAGGATCCTATAGGCTGGACTTACACTCCAGCCCATGAAGCCAGTTCCTTTAGGGAGAAACCTGGAACTCTGCTTCTCCCCATGAGCATAATTTTGAGTCACAGTCCTGGAGCTGGAGGTGGGGACAATGGCTCATTTTTCTTTGACTTACCCCTACCTTAGGATCTGGAAGCTCAGTAGGGGGATGAAAAAGAGCTATGGTCTCTGGGGCTCTCAGCTTGTCTCTCCTGGTGTGAAATCTCTACTTTAAGAGTGGGCTGGGGTTGTGGCTCAGCAGTAGAGTACTTGCCTTGCATGTGCAAGCCCCTGGGTTCGATCCTCAGCACCACATACAAATAAATAAATAAAAATAAATAAATAATTATATTTTAAAAAGAAAGGAAGGAAGGAAGGAAGAAAGGGAGGGAAGGAGGGAGGGCTGGGTGAGGATGACTTGGTCCTTGTATTTTCAACATGCTAGACCTCATGTGGATCCTCCATCCCATGAGTGAAGGCTGGATGGAAAAGGAGCACCCACATCTTGGGAACCCTTGTGTGGTACTTCATCTCTGCCACGGGTAAAACTGGGCATGGGGGCAGGACCTGAAGAGGCACCATAGGCCTCAGCTGGGAGCTGGAGGAGTGGAAACCCTGGGACTTTTTACACTTCCCAAGTGGAGTTTCCACCACGGTGAGCTGGAAAGGAGGGAGTAAGATATTGCTCAGATGCCATGGACTCTCACTCATCACACCAAGTTTAGTAGGTTTTCTTGAATATGTTTCTCCATTTGATGTATGTCCTTTTGCTGTTTCCAGAGATTTTAAATTCTTTGCAGCTTCACTGGGATTCAGTCCAAAGAGCTCCTTAGTCTGCATGCTGGAAGGAGAACTCCTTATCCCATCCTCTTTTGAGTACTTCTTTACTTTCTAGCACAGCAAGATAATCAAATTTCATCCCATATTTTCCCAACTGCAGCACTAGACTGAGCCATTTCTCCAAGGCTCTCTAGTTCCTTTGCTGTCTAACTACTGGTAGTTAGACAGCAAAGTAGGAACAGCCAATGTGCTTATTTTTATTGGATGTAAGTGTGTCTCAGATCTGTCAGGATACAGTGCAAGAAGTATGCACATCTGTGTATATGTCTTTACACACAGTCATGAATTCATACTGACACTTCCCATTCCAGTCAAAATTCCTAACTTCCTTTGCCAACAGTGAGAAACCTGGCTCTCATTTTCCATACTATAATTACTTGCTTGGTCTGGAATACACATTAGTTTCAGTATTGCCTATCCATATCACTGTGAAGAACCAACTCCTCACTAGAATTCACTAATTCCCTGAAGTTCTTAAGGATGAGAACATTAGTTGAAGTATTATATTTAGGAACTATACATAGGGAGAGTGGATACACTCACAGTTTTATATGTATGTATGAAAATGTTGCAAAGAAATCCATTATTTTGTACATTATGTATTAATAATGAAAAAATACACAAAAAGACACACTCAGTTAATTGTCCCACCCCTTACTCCAGTCTCACAATCTCAAGGCAACCAATGTTTCTAGTTTATTCATTGATTCATTCAGTATTTCTATGGAAATGTGCAGGTATATGTGATGTTTTGTACTTCCTCTTTTGATTTAAAAAGTTTGTTTTTTTTTTTTGTACTGGGGATTAGATCCAGGGGTGCTTAACCACTGAGCCACATCTTCATCCCCAGCCTATATATAATTTGGTTTTAGTTGGACACAATACATTTCACATATTTATTTTTATGTGGTACAGAGGATAGAAACCATGGTCTCGCACATGAGAAGCTAGTGCTCTACTGCTGAGCCATAACCCCAGCCCCCCCACCACCAATGTTTTAAATATTTTTTTTCTTTTAAATTGTAGATGGACACCTTTATTTCTATATGGTGCTGAGGATCAAACTCAGTGCTGCACATGTGCCAGGTAAGCACTTACCACTGAGCCACAATCCTGGCTCCCCAGCCCTTTTTATTCTTTATTTTGTGATAGGGTTTTGCTAAGTTGCTGAGGCTGGCCTTGAACTTGCCATGTTCCTGCCTCAGCTCCTTAGTCACTGGAATCACAGGCATGGCCACCAGGCCTGAGAAGCAGCCCTACAGCCCCATCCTGACCTGTTCCTGGATGTGACTTCTGAGAGCAAATACACTTGCAGGGAGGGACCTACCCTTCCAATTATAAGCCCAACATGCTTTTAGTTACATTGCTAAGAAATAAAGAGATGCTGAGGCTGAGGCTGCGGCTCAGTGGTAGAGCACTTGCCTCACAGATGTGAGGCCCTAGGTTGGATCCTCAGCATCAAGTTGGGATAAATAAATAAAAGAAGATAATGTGTCCATGTACAACTAAAAAGAAAGAAGGAGACAATGCTGATACTTAGCATGTAATACAGAGAATACTGGGGGATGTTGTGTCACAAACTATCAAATATATATGACAAGTTACATTAAAAAATAAAATGCCAAATTCTTGAAAAATGCTATTCAGTGTTAATTAAGGAAAGTCACACAAAATATTCCTTAGCTTTCAGAATAAGTGCCTTGTGATTTTACTTTATCTACATATTAAAAAGAAATAAAAACTTTTACACTCCTCCATGAAAAAGTCTGTTGTTTATAATGAATTTTTTTTTTATTTTATAAAAACATAGCTTTCAATTTGGAATGTGGCTTTCCATGCAACACAGTTCCTATGGAAAATGCTTCCCTGACGGAGTAAACCGCAAGGTGTTCTCAGTTATGACCATCCCACGTCTTCTCACAACATCATACCTGGTGGGCTCACTGCTCCTGTCCTGTCAGTCCCCTGTGACTGCCTCCTGGGGGCTTCGCAGGCTCTTTCCAGCTGTGCTGGTCTCTCCCACATGACTCGTCATGTGAGTGCATTTTCAGGACCTCTGATCATCACTCGAGTGTCCCCTCTGTGCGTCTTCCTGTGTATTCGGAGCCCTGAATTCCAGCAGAAGGATTTTCCACACTCAGAGCACTTCCAGGGCTTCTCTCCCGTGTGAACTCTCTGGTGTTCACTGAGGGAGGACTTCTGAGTGAAGGCTTTCCCACACTCGATGCACTTGAAAGGCCTCTCTCCTGAGTGGGTTTTCTGGTGGATCTGGAGAGACGCCTTCCTGGGATAGGCCTTCTCGCACTCGCTGCACTCATAGGGCTTCTCTGTAGAATGAGTCCTCTGGTGTATGATAAGCTGTGACTTCCCACAAAAGGCCCTCTCGCACAAGCTGCACTCGTACGGCCTCTCTCCTGTGTGTGTCCTCCTGTGGATGACAAGGTACGACTTGCTGCTGAAAGCCTTTCCGCACTCACTGCACCCGTAGGGCTTCTCTCCGGCATGGGCACGCAGGTGAGCAGTGAGCTGCTCCTTCCTGCCGAAGGCCTTCCCGCACTGGCTGCACTGGTGAGGGTTGTTGCCTGTGTGAGTGCCCTGGTGCACCACCAGCTGTGTCTTCATGTTGAAGGCTTTCCCACAGTCGCTGCACCGATAGGGCTTCTCTCCCGTGTGCATTCTGGTGTGAACCAGGAGGTAGGACTTACTCCTAAAGGCCTTCCCACACTCAGCGCACTTGTGAGGTTTCACTCCTGTGTGAGTTCTCTGGTGTACAACGAATGGGGACTTCAAACTGAAGGCCTTCCCACACTCGCTGCATTCATAGGGTTTCACTCCCGTGTGGCTTCTCTGGTGCAAAATGAGCTGAGACTTCCAACTGTAGGCCTTCCCGCATTCGCCACAACCATAAGGCTTCCCTCCTGTGTGAACCTCCTGGTGGACGATGAGCTGCGACCTGAACGAGAAGACTTTTCCACACTCAGCACACGAGTAGGGCTTCTCCCCAGTGTGGACTCTTTGGTGGGCATTCAGGTTGGACTTGGCACTGAAGGCTCTTTCACATTTGGTGCACTCGTAAGGCCGCTCGCCTGTATGGATCCTGAGGTGCACGATGAGCTGCGACCTACAACGGAAGGCCTTTCCACATTCGTTACATACACAGGATTTTTCTATGCTATGAGCTCTTTGATGCTTAAGAAAATGTGATTCCTCACACCCATGAAAACCATCAGGCGTCTTTCTTACATAACCTCTGCTTGACCCCGAGTTTTGTGTCCAGCGTTTCCCAAGTGTATTACACTTATGGAGTCTTTGTCCTGAAGAAACGTGGATTTTGCTTATGTGAAGTTTTCTGAACATATTACAAGCATGATTTCTCTCAATACTTTCAAACTCATCTTGATTTTTCTGGTACCAATCTTCCCAGACTTCTAAGGAAAAACAAAACACCATGCAGTTCTTAAATTCTAATATGGAATTAATTAAAAAGCTTTAAAAATGCATGTAGTAGCTGGGGAGTGTATACCAGTAGTGGAGTATTTGCTTCACATTCATGAAGCCCTGGGCTCAGTCCCAGCACAACCAAAAAAAAGGAAAAAAAAAGAGTCTGTTTTTTACCTGTGTTACTAGGCCTATGCCACTGTTCAAAAGAAATACTGGCCAAGCATAGTGGGCAAGGGGTGAGGGGGACACTGGAATCAATCTCCTCATGAAATTGGCAGTGAATTAGCAGTGATTGAAAAAAAAAAGGGGGTTTCTAAAGGGGCTTTAAAAACTTAACCCTGTACTTAGGGGCCAATTCCCAATTATTTTATATATGAATTTTATTACTGTGAGATTTTACCTAATTAAAAAGTAAATTCAGGGGCTGAGGCTGTGGCTCAGTGGCAGAGCGCTCACCTAGCATGTGTGAAGCCCTGGGTTCAATCCTCAGCACCACATAAAAATGGATGAATAAAGTAAAGGAATTATGTCCGACTACAAGTTAAAAAACTACAAGTAAAAAAAAAAAAATAAGTCAATTCAGAGGACACAAGGTTCCTGGGGCCAGATGTTCAGGTCTGATGGCAATGAGACTTTAGAAAGGAGAACAAAGCTAGAAGCAGCGGCATGCCTGCACTCTCAGGACTCGGGAGGCCGAGGCAGGAGGGAGCAAGCTCCAGGCCAGCACCAGCCACTCAGCAAGGCCCTATCTCAGAGTAAAATAAAAGAGTTGGGCTGTGACTTAGTGGTAGAGCTTGCCCAACACACATGGAGCCATGGGTTCCATCCCCAGTACTGCAAAAAAGGACGATGAAGGGTTGGAGCTGTGGCTCAGTGTTGAAGCACTTGCCTAGCATGTGGGAGGCACTGGGTTTGATCCCCAGCACCACTTAAAAAGAAATAAAATAAAGGCATAAAAAATACAATTAATTTTTAAAAAGGAGGATGAATGAATCCCAAAGCCTAACACTTCAAACCGAGAAAAAATGCCAAGTACAAACTTCCTGAGGAGAATTCCTTGGCAGGGTTTAAGATAAAACAGGAAACAAGTAAGGATGAGCACACCCAGGACCCACTGGGAAACAGAGCAGAGAGCAAGAAGCAAAGTCTGCTGTCACCCAGAGGTGCTCAGTGGAGACCCTCATTAATAATATTCTTCCTTAGAAAGGTATGTCTGGTTATGACATAAACAATGAGAAAGAAAAGGACAGAGAAGCACCGAGGGGCTGCCATGGGACTGAGGAAAGGGGAGGATCGCCAGCTCCCACACAAGGTGCAGGGCTCCTCAGAAACGCAGAGCATGGTGCAGGCAGAGGGCAGCTCTGGGTGCTGCTGCATCTGAGGTTAGTGCCCACGCACCCACATGTGAGTCAACAGCCGGGCCTGAGTGCTGCATGCAGGAAAAGTGCACAGCATGTCAAAGTGACACAAGGCAGGGACCACCAGGGGACCAGGGCTGCAGGTGACAGCCCAGATCCAAGCCCAAACCTTGTCTTGTACTGATAGTAATGACCAGACCAGGGGACAAGAGAGATGGCAGCAAGTGAAGGCCTGGGCACTGCTCAGGTCCAGGGCTGACCAGAACAGGCAAGGCCCTGTGTGGGCCTTGGCACACCTGCTTCTCCAGAGCTCTTCCTACACAGCCCCACTCCAAGGGTAGTGGAAGGCCCAAGTTAGGGTTTGTACTGGGAAGTGAGGCAGTGGACAGACCACAAGGGGAAACCATTAAGTGGCTGGAAGGAAGGCCTGGCCTTGCAGACCACCTCTGCATAGTACTCCTCCATTGCTGGATTACTACTTAACAGAATTAGTCAGAAAACAACAGAACCCCCCCAGAATCACAGACTGGAAGCCTGCAAGGTCTGGAAAGGAGCCCCAAGGTTGGTCTGATAACAGTCTGACTCTTCAAGCCTTATTACTCCAAGACTTACTACAACAGAAGTGGGCACTGATCATACTACTCAAAGGGCCCATAGAATGGGCATTCTCTCAAAAGCCTGGGCTGGGGCTCAGTGGTGGAGCACTTGCCTAGCATGTGTGAGGGACTGGGTTTGAGCTTCAGTACCACATATAAATAAAATAAAGGTATTGTGTCCATCCACAACTAAAAAAAAAAAAGGTCTGACCATAGAGGACAACAAAAGATGCTTCATGGGAAGTGCAGGGCACAGAGCCCTCTCTGACCTTTCTCTACAGGGAAAGGTGAGCCAACAATGACTGCCATCTGCCCTTCTAGAAGAGGAGTGTCTGGAGCTGCTCTATAGAAGACAACTTGCCAGTAGAGGCTACTGACTCCCTACTGTTTCATTCTGGTTAAATCCGGGATTGAAGACATACATTTATTTTCACAGACTAATGACAGGATGCTTATGAAAACAAACCCAGCAATACCAGCTAAGACAATGAAAGCTCCTAGATATGACTATGAATCTGAGCTTCCTAGTTACAACAATAATGATCTAGTCTGAGTGACAACTGAGGAGACGAGTGTCAACAAGGTAGTTATCAAAGGACAAAACAGTAATGGAGGCAGAAGCAGTTGAAAGATCAGCAAAGTAGAAAGCAAGCAGACAGAATTCCCAGTGAGCCGCAGTCCAGGGTGCACAGCAGCCACAGCACTGGGATGGGCAGGGTGGGGCCCAGGGTGTCCCCAAGGCAGCAGGATTCAGAGCCGGGCTTTAGGGAGTGCCTGGACCCTCAGGGCTCCAAGCTCATCGGTGGCTTAGTCCACTGAGGGATTCACAAAGTGATGACATTCCTGGGAGGTGGTGGGCACTGGTAGAGGTGGCCCCAGTGGGCCCTGAGAGCACACTATGAAGGGCTTACATTCTCTCAAGACCTCCCTCCTGCCCTCCCTCTCTCTCCCTGCTTCAAGGCTGCCATGACGGGAGAGCTCTGCTCTCCTCGGTCCTCTCTGCCACGATGCTCTGCCTCAGCATAGGATTGTTGCTGGGGGGCCAAGCAGCCACAGACCGAAACCTCTGCAACCATGAACCAAAATAACTCTTGCCTCCTTTCAGTGGTTTCTATTAGGCATTTTGTCACAACAACAGAAAGCCCAAAAAAGGGGAAACTGGGAGGAATGGCAATGTTGGAAGGAAGTTTCTTCCCATTTCTGCACCAGAATGAAGCCTGGGAAAGCACAGGGGAGCTCTCCTGCAGGCATATAAGCCCTAGCACCAAGTGCAGAAGGAGAACAGGAGGAAGGTGGCACTGCCGGTGATACCACAGAGGAGAGAAAAACCTAAAAGTTCAGAATGGAAGGAGGCTGAACTGGGGAGCAAGCCCAGTGTGTGAAGGTGTGTGAAATCACGCAGTGATACAGTGAGAACAGATGTGGGGCTGTGGGTGGAGTCTAAGCAATGCACCCACCAGAAAAAGGAGAAAGGAATGTGAGGGAAGAGGATGGATCACACAGAACTAGGAGAAGAAGTTCTCTGAAGGTCTCCTCTACTGTGGGAAGGTAGAAAACTGACCCAGGAGGCAAATCATGGGGCAGAGCTCAGAGGAAGGGCACGCCTACCTCTCAAAGCCAGGGAGGAAAGAGGCCCAGTGTGTTCGTGACTGCTGACCCGAGGCGCTCATGTCTCATCGTAAGTCAGCTGAAAGGGTTCGAGGACTCCCAAGATTTCTATGCACAACACCCAGCAGTGCCAAGCTCTCAAGAACAGCCAGTTTACCTCTACACCTCCCATCTTTCTAGCTCTCACCCACCTGGACAGTTCTGAGTGGACATTTTGGCATTTAGTATCCACGGCTCTTCTCCTTGCTCCAATCTGAAGATTAAATCAGGTTTGGTACCATGATATCCTGTTAATGGAAAAATCACAAATGATGAGGGCCAAACTGCTGGAGATGAAATTAAGGGCTCAGAAACTACAAAACACAACCGCTCGTTTGTACCTTGGGAAACAGCACAACCAGGAGGTGAGGGCCCAAAAGGAAAACTTCACCTCTAAAGTTCAAGTTCATAGTCATTAAGTACATCAGAGGCTCCAGGGGGAAGATCATAAAAGAAAAGGGATGGTGATGTGTGACTTGGGGTCTGAGTACTCACCCACTGACAGCAGGTTGCTATAGTTTTCCAGGATCACTTCCCTGTACAGGTACCTCTGTGCAGAATCCAGTAGCTGCCATTCTTCCCAAGAAAATTCCAGGGACACATCGTTGAATGACAATAAGCCCTATAATAATATATACCCCATTCAATCAGATGTCATTACAGTAAGTGACACAGGAAAGACACAGAGCAACTGGAAAAGTAGAATTAAAACTCAATCATCAGTTTGGTGCTAAGGAGCACACTTGTATTCCCAGCAGTTCAAGAGCCTGAGGTAGGAGTATTATTCAAAGTAAGTTCAAAGCCAACCTCAGCAACTTAGTGAGATCCTGTCTCAAAAAATAAAAATGGCTGGGGATGTGGCTCAGTGGTTAAGTGCCCCTGGACTCAATCCCAGGTATAGAAAAAAAAAAAAAAAGAAGAAGAAGAAGAAGAAGAAAGGAAGGAAGGAAAACATGAAAATAAGTTTTAAAAAGATATGGAAATAAAAGCGATTTTAAAGTTGCAGTAGGCAGAAGAGGGAGGGAAATTTCAGCATGATAGACTACTAATAACTTCTCTTATTGAGAATCACTTAAATCACCTTAATCACATACAGACACACATTCACAAGAAAGGGAAAATAAAAATAAAGAGAAGGTATTAAGATATTTTAGCAGATTTTTAGAAAACAGAAAGCCAAAAAAAAAAAAAAAAAGGTGGGTATCTAACTCCAGGAGAGAAGCTAGTCCAAAGACAAGCAGAGGGGCTGTTAGTGAAGAATAAACCATAAACCCACAGAAACTCCAAAACCTCTGGGACGGAAAGTCAGAATGCCAGAAAGAAGTGTGAGCTAGAATAGGAAAAGGCTGGGAGCCATGTGCAGACCAGGCTCCCATGTCCCACCCACCCAGGATCTGGCAGCAGCTGTCACTCAGTCAGTGTACAGCCACACAATGTGCTAGCAGGGACAGGAGCTGTCGCCAACCATGCAGGCAGGGAGCAGAGCCAGGTGGCCGGGCAGAGGCACTGCAATGGAGACAGGGTATGGGCAGCTCTCTGCTGAGAATGTGAAAGCACAGTTGGCCTTCCGGACTGGAGGGCATGGTAAGGGCATCCCAAGTCAATGCGAAGCCACCAGAGGCTTTGAAGAGGATGGACTCTGCCCTGTGTTCTGAAGGATGTTCTACCTGCTGTGGAGAAGTCAGAGGGTCATACAGGAGCAGCACCATGGAGGCCAACTGTGCTTCAGCCCTAGCTGGATCCCTTTTTCTCTCCACACTGCTTAAGGCCACAGACAGGTGCAGACTCTAGGAGGCGGTTTCCCTGACTCTACGGAATGCCCACAGGATCCCTGAAGAACACATTTGGAGGGAGGGACACCCCAGAGGGAGAGACAGTGAGGGAACTCCAGGAAAACTTATAAGGGTTGAGGGAAAAGAACAGATCACAGCACGGCATATGGGAAAAACCTGTCACAGGCTGCAATCCCAATAATGCTGGAATTATCAGGGAGTTTAAAATAGCCAGGTTAGGGCTGGTGATGTGGCTCAAGCGGTAGCGTCCTTGCCTGGCATGTGTGCGGCCCGGGTTCGATCCTCAGCACCACATACAAACAAAGATGTTGTGTCCGCCGAAAGCTGGAAAATAAATATTAAAATTCTCATTCTCTCTCTCTCTCTCTCTCTCTCTCTCTCTCTCTCTCTCTCTCTCTCTCTCTCAAAAAAAATAGCCAGGATTAATATGCTAAGGGCTCTAAAGAGAAGAGTACACAGCATGCTAGGACACATGGGTACTATAGGCAAACAGATGAAAATCTCAAGGAAAAAAAAAAAGAAAGGCTACAGATCAAAAACACTGAAAAAGAAATGAAGAATGCCTTTGATGGACTTATCAGTAAACTGAAAAAGGAAAAGGGAAAAAAATCTTTAAGCCTGAGGACATATCAATAGAAACCTCCAAAACTGAAGAAAAAACCCGTAACATAAATTAAAAGTAAATGAATGAGAAAAGATAAACTTGTGCTAGCTCAAAAGAAAGTAGGAGGCCTGGGGTTGTAGCTCAGTGATGGAGCACTTGCCTTGCACGTGTGAAACACTGGATTTGATCCCCAGCACCACATAAAAATAAATAAATAAAATAAAGGTATTGTGTCCATCTACAACTAAAAAATATATATGTGTAATAAAAAAAAAGCAGGAGTAGATAGTACAGGTATTTCTTTCCTTTTTGCTTTTCCTGTGGAACTGGGGATGGACCCAGGAGCACCGTTCCAACACTTTCTGTTAATTAAACAATTTTTTTTTGAGACAGGGTCTTGCTAAGTTGTTCAGGCTGGCCTCAAGATTTGCAATCCTTCTGCTTCTGCCTCCTGAGTCACTAGGATTATAGGTGTGTGCCTCCATGTCAAGCTAGATACAGTAATCTCAAACAGAGCTCACTTCAGAGCAAGGAAGGTTATTAGGAACAAAGAATTGCATTGCATAAGGATAAAAAGAAACAACAGGGCAGTTGTGGCTCAGTGGCAGAGTATACCACATAAGAAGATAAAAGGTTAAAAAAAGAAAAGAAATAAGAATTCCTAATTTATATGTGTGCAATGACAGAGTGTCAATACAGGTGAAGTGAAACTGATGGACCCCAGTGGGAAACAGATGATTCCCCTATCACAGCTAGATACATTAATACCTCACTATCAGAAACACAGATCCAACAGGCTGAAAATCAGTATGGACACAGGTGACCTCAAAGACACCTTCAGCCACTAAATGTAATTGCTCTCTATGACCTTCACACAAGAACAGAGTGCACTGTCTTCTCAAGCTCACATGGACTATTCACCAAGAAGGCCACATTCTAGGCCTTAAAACACATCTAACACGTTTGATAGGATTGAACCCATACACTGTATCCTCTCAGAACACAGCAGAATTAAACACAACAAGAAATCAATGGAACTAGAAATCAATAACTAGAGTTAATTGAAAAATCTTCCAAACACATAAAGATTCAACAACACATTTATAAATAACAAATAGGGCAAAGGAAAAGTCTCGAGAGAAACTTTAAAATATTTCACACTAAACAAAAATGAAAGTACAACTTATTGAAATATATGTAATGCCATGAAAGAAGTGTTTAGGGAGGAATTTATCACTGAATCATCCCTACTACCACCTTAAGAAATTAAGAGAATAAGGGAAAAAAAAAGGAATAATAAACCAGAAAATAATCATTACCCATAGGCTGGTTTTATGAAAAGATGGATGAAATGAAATCTTCTACCCAGGCTAAGAGAACAAGAGAAGCCACAAATCACTGTTTTATGAATATAAAAATACACTGGAGAAAAGAGTCTGTGTTACAGTTTGGAGGTGAGGTGTCCCCCAAAAGCTAATTTGTGAGACAATGCAAGAAAGCTTAGAGGTGAAATGATTATTAACCCAATCAGTGTCGGGAGTAGCTAGAGAAAGTGGGCCATGGGGGAGTGCCTTTTTGGGTATATATTTTGTACCTGGACAGTGGAGTCTCTCTCTGCTTTCTGATCATTATGTGAGCTGCTTTCTTCCACCATATACTTCTGCCATGATGTCCTGCCTCATCTGGTGCCCCAAGGAATGGAGCTGGCTATCTACAGAGCCCTCAAATACACCTTTTCTCCTCTAAAATAGTTCTGTTCAGGTGTTTTAGTCAGAACAGCAAAGAGATTGACTAAAACAGTCTGCCAAAAAAGATGCTGGAACAAGACTTGCAAAACAAAAGACCTAGACACAGACATCAATAAAATTAACTCAAGGGGATGTGGTTGTGGCTCAGTGGTACAGCACTTGCCTAGCACATGGGAGGCACTGGGTTCGATCCTCAGCACCACATAAAAATAAACAAAATAAAGGTACTGTGTCCATCTACAACTAAATTATGGGGTGTGTGTGTGTGTGTGTGTGTGTGTGTGTGTGTGTGTGTAAGTTAATCAAAATCAATCACAGACATAAATGTGAGATGCAAACCCATAACTTCTTAAAGATAACAGGAGAAAATCTGGATTACATTGGGTTTAGCATGACTTTTTAGACAAGACACTCTAAGTATGATCCATGAAAGATGAATAAGCTGGGGCTAATGATGTGGCTCAGTGGCACTAGGCTTGCCTAATATGCATAAAAGCCCTGGGTCCAACCCCCAGAACCACAAAGAGGAAATAAAAGAATTAATAAGCTGGACTTCATTAAAATGAAAAATAACCACAATGTGGACAGTGACACTACCAAAAGCTGACAAGTACACAGCACAACAAAAATTTCACTCATTGCTGAGGGGAATACAAAATGGTAAAGCCACATTGGAACGCCTTTTTTATAAAAACTAAATGTACTCTTACCATAGATCTGGCAAATGCCAGGCAGTGTCCATCTACAACTAAATTGTGTGTACAATTATAACACACAATTTATAAACCACGCCTATAAACCCAGTAACTCAGAAGGCTGAGGCAGGAGGATTGAAAGTTCAAGGCCAGTCTGGGTAACTGAGCAAGACCCTGACTCAAAATAAAAAGTAAAAAAACAGGATGGGGGTCTAGCTCAATGGTAGAACAACCCCAAATTCAATCCCAAGTACTACAAGGGCAAAAAAAAAAAAAAAAAGAATCCTTGGAATTTACCAAAAGAGAAGAAAACTTAAGTACATACAAAAACCTACACATGAATGTTTGTAGTAATTTTATTTCTAATTGCCCAGACTTGGAAGCAACCAAGATGTCCTTAAATAGGTGAATAAACTATGGTACTTCTAGAAAAAGGCATATTATTCAACACTAAAAGAAACGAGTGATCAAGCCACAAAATTCTATGGAGAAAATTTAAATGCATGCATCTAAGTAAAAAAAGCAATTCTAAAAGGAATACACACAAACATGACTCCGATGTGACATTCTGGAAAGGGCAAAACTGTAAATACGGTAAAAGGATCTGTAGTGACCAGGGGATGGAAAAGCATAAGCAGGAGGGAACAGAGGATTTCCAGGGCAGTGAAACCATTCTGTGTGAGACTCACAGGGCACAGAGCACTTCACCTGTGAGTGAAGCCCAGCATCAACGTAGGTCCATCCACGCAGGGAGTGTACTCCTTGGTGGGAGACATGAACCA